CATCGAAGCCGGATTTTGAAAATTGAAGTAGTGGTTGCTTTGAATGAAGAAAATCCTCTGTAAACAAAAAATTGAATGTCCTGACTCGTGGCAAATCGGGCCAAGTTAGGGCCCAGAAAGGAGTAATAGGTACTGAGTACAAATAAAATTATGTTTGGGTAAAAAACTCAATTACTGTTTTGTAGCGATGTGGTTGACGACACAAAGTGCGATTATACCACCAATTGTAGCAATATCAACTCCACATAGAACAAAACAAAGTAGCCGTAAACGTTGTGCAGTACTCGGAGTTGCACTCGAGCAGTACGGGTATTGTAGGGTGAAGTCTTCCACCTTCATGACCCAAGCAGTAGCTGCTGTGGAAATGATAACCTGGAAAATCACCAACTATGTATAGCAGATATGGCCTCAATTAGAAGGAAAAGTTTAAGAAAAACGATACCGAGGCAATCGTGAAAGTGTAGCCAATTCTCGAGTCGTATGATTCATACTGAGCACCTTTCCATGTAGCTATAGCCCGTTCCATGAGCATTGATACCTTCAAGCAAAATGAATTCATCTAACAGTTGTGCGAGTTACAACTGAGCAGATCTGTTTCTTACCTGCAGTGCTGCAAAAGAGACCATGCAAACATTAGTCGGAAACCTCATGGAAAAGCATAATTCCGATTCAAATACGATAGAGCACAGATCAGAGGTTGTCAGGTAGCGAAAGAGCTGCAGCGACTAAACAGAATTCATGTTTGCCGTAACAAGTCGACAGCCAAATTGTATTCAGCTTATGAGAAAGATCTAAATCCTTTTCTTCAATGTATTTGAAGGAAAGTTGATGATCATGAGCATTTGGTGAAGATGACTTTTTCTATTGTCACGGTGTCCAATGCTTGCTTTTTGAATGTTTCGTTTCATAAGATGATATAAATGTGGTTGCCACGGAGAGAGGGGTGGAGTAGGTAAGGGGTGAATCGGGGTGGGAAAGTGGTGAGTTCGGGGTGGGGGCAAAAAGGGAAGGGGCTTCGAGGCTGGGAAAGGGAGAAAGGGGTTCCGGGTGGTGGAAGGGGAGGGGAGCGCGGATGAGGGGTCAGAAGAGGGATGAGTATGTGTAAGATAGCTCTTGCCAGTTAGTGGGAATGCCTTAGCTCCTTACCCATTACCTATGGGTGCTTATATCAAAAAGCATGTACTGACTGACAACTGATCGGATACATTTGTAATCATTTTGTCAAGAAATAGTTGAGCCAGCGAAAGTAGCTGAAATGCGGTGAGGCCACTGACCCTGACCGATAGAAATGCCCATCTCCCGCATGCACGAACAAACTATGAAAGAAAGCTTGGTTTGTTGCAGATAAGAAATATTGATAAAACCAATAAATGATTAAATAAAAATAAAGAAATAAAAATAAAGAAATAAGTAACAAACTGGCTACAAGCTAACAGTAGAAGAATTGAAAGGATAGAATTGAGTGGAGAAGTATGGAAGTTTTGCTATAAGAATTTTTTTCTCGATAAATGCAATTTGACGTAAATTCTCACCTGAAGGACTGTGATAAAGAGTGAATGCGCAATGAATAAGATAAGTGTAGCCTTGATGAGTATCTGAATATATGGGATCGATCTGTTTCCATGGAAAGCATGTAAAAGGCATAAAATTATGCATGTTGCAATCCTCTTCTTATTGTAAGGACCTCTCTCTGCTGAGAAAAGACTTTATGAAGCGAAAAAAGGAAATATAAAAACAAAATGCAAAGTAAAACAAAAATATTTGAAAGATAGAACAGTACAATGATATTGTTAAAAATTACTCTTGATCTAACAATAAAGTGGGAGGGAGTGGTGTAGTGGCTAGTGGCGAATTTAC